AAGTAAAAAGACAAATTTGGTTGTTCAAACAAAATTATCGTATTTTTAAGTACGATCCCACTCTTTAGATCGTACATCGTAAAAAGACCTAAATTATCGTATTTGTACGAGCAAAATCGTACGGTTGGCAACACTGTCCCGGAAACTCTCTGAAATCCCGTATCAGTGGCGTAAGGCCTTTTCGGAAACGCGAATTATCACACACGCACAATGACGGAAACGACACGATTACATTAACTGGCTTGGCTGTGGCGCTCGGCGGGCGCGTAGCGCGACGGTCCTGTAAAAAGATCTCGATACGCGAGGTCAGACGGGGCGCCGAAACTTAGGGAATCTCTATCGGCTACAGCCGAGTCACAAAACGAGAACGAGAGCTAGGAACACGTGTTCCTTGCGGCCCGTCTGACACAAGAAAAATCGGCGGCTTTACACAAGTGCGCTCGTCTCACCGAGAACTACTCGTCACGGGAACGGCAGCTCGCCTCGACTACAGCTGACTTTCGGCAGAATCTCTCAATATCGTACTTCGTCCTGCATCCTTCCACTATCGCTACCACAGCACAAGTGCCGAGTGCCGCTGCTTCCGTGATCTCGCCGGGCCGGTGGGCCCAAGTGGTACTTCAGTACGCGCCCCTAATTGGCGGGCGTGCGAGCTCGCGATCTCCACGAATCGCGTGTGGTGCGTAGCGCCGCGGGTCCTGTGTCCCGCGCGCGACATTTATTAGGTGTTAAACTTAATTCCTGCCGTTTTTTCGTCTCTAAAATCGATTTGTTTCGAAGGGAAGATGAATGAATCCTTAATCAAAGTAATTTCCTCCATTTTCTACTATTTTTTCCCATCTCTCCGGCAACAGGGAGTAGGAGAGATAGGCCGGTTCTAACCCAGGAGCTCCGAGGGGGGAGCGGGGCGGGGGAAATTTGCGCGGGGGGATGACGTCACAGGGGGTAACCGCCGAGATGTTTATATAAACATGGGCCCTGTATGTTTACATAAACATTGATAGCGGCGGGCTCATTGAGTATAAACATGGGCCATGTATGTTTACGTAAACAATGATAGCGGCGGGCTCATTGAGTATAAACATGGGCCCTGTATGTTTACATAAACAATGATAGCGTCG